ATGGATAAAGTCCGAAAACCCAATATCTCGGTCTTTTAATATCGTCACATACGTGTATATGGAGTGTGAGTATAGACGGGGTTTCGATTGGTAATCGGAGTTATTGAAGACTTGCAAAACGTAACTGAAAACAACTACGGCAGGGTGAGAGAGTTACACACTCCAATGATCACTGTAACTGCAGCATACATAAAGTCTTAAATTATTCCTAGCCTTTGCTAGGTAGTGGCTTCAAATGGCGGACGTTCCCCTTTCTCCGGGTTCCCGAACTTTCCCCGATCTCAGCTACAGCAACTCTCAACTGACTGACTCATCAACCAACTCACGCCACTGCACTAACTGCAGCTCCCAACTTGTCCCGCTTATCGGCAGGACCGCACAGAAAACACAGCTCCTCGTTGTTGTAGTTCAGTTGTTGCCATGGGAACACGTTTGTTTGCGAAGCCGTTACTCAGTAACGGATGTAGTATATTTGCTTATGTCGAAGTCGTTGCGTAGCAACGTGTGTGCACGCAAGAAAGAGCCTTCAAGGGACGGAGTACAAAGGCATATGTGTTGTATACCTACAAGTCTTTCTTACGATGGATGTTTTGGCTAACACAGTCAACAGATTCGATTTGAAATTAGCGAAGATGGATTCTGCCGTCACGTATTTGTAGTCTTCTGTAGGGTATGAAATATTTGTGATGATTTAAGGGGATTTTGAGAGAGTTGTGATCTCACACTGAACGTGAATCACCAAGGTGAAGTGAGTGCTTACACGAAGTTTGAAAGAAAACTTGAATTATCAACAGTCTTGCAAGGCACTTTGTGTAAATAATTGGACAGGCTTGATGATTCAGCCTCATGTCATTATCACAGCAAATTGATTACAATCGTTTGACTTGTTATCCTCGTACCTGATTCGGGCTGAAAGGAAGCATCTTGTTGCTGTCAAAAGCACAAGAAACTTTAAAACAAAAATGAAACGCGTAGTTTGTTGTTAGGACGGCCCTGTCCCCATTTAAATGTCCATGTTGCCATGAACTGCTTGCTACTTGGTGTCATCTGCACTGCCCACGAGTTACTGTCCGTCACGGCGCTAATATTACGCAGATAACATCTGTCTTATTCATTAACTCCGCATTTGAGGACGTTGACATTCGTCTACAAAGTTCGAGATCTGCAGTCACAGAATGATATCTTCTCGCGCATTCCGTGACTTTCGTAGGCGCCATGACACCTACAGACTCTCAGCACACACATCGCTCTTAGACAACTGGGACAGTCGTCAATTTTTGGTTCTCGTAATTACTTATTATAACAATGCTAAATTGTAATCTTTCTTTTATATATCGTTATATTTCTTCTGCTTACATTTATTTATTCTGAACGTTGCGTGTTCGATTCCCAGTGAGGTCATTGAATTTTTCAATTTACCTAATCCTTCCAGCCGCACTATGGCTCTGGGTTCAACTCAGCCTCTAACGCCGATCTTCATAGGGGTAAAAGGCGGCCGGCGCGTAAGGCTTACAACCTGAGCCATGTGAGCCGATTGTCTTGAAAATGTGGGAGCCTCGACGTTTCACAATCCTATAGGCCTCCACGGCGTATTATAATACAACTATTCATTTATAACGAGCCGATGTAGCTCAGTCGGTGTAGTGACGGGCTACAGACTGGACGCCGGTGTTCGATTCCCGGCAGGGGAACGATATTTCTCTTCTACACGTCGTCCAGGCGGGCNCCCCCCCCCCCCCCCCCAAGCCTCCTATCCAGTGGGTACCGGTGGTTCTTCCCCCGGGCTAAAGCGGCCGAGACGTGAAGTTGACCACTCAGCTGCACCCAGTGCCGAAGTCAAGAAGAGTGTAGCTATACCTCCAGTCCCTCACACATCTTCATGGCATGATGCTTAATTAAGAAGACGGAGAATTTTACAATTTTTAACCTGTGCCATTGCTATTAATTTGTATTTAAATCCATATCATGCAATGGTCCATGCAATTGTTGCCAGCTTCATAAATATCAACACAAACAATAATTATTTCCAGTACAAAATAAAAGTAAGGTGGGTAAGAGACTGACGATTCTGACTTCAGTCCAGGAGGTACCTGATTCGAATCTCAGGCAGGATATTGATCGCCCTCACTCATGTTTTTCTAAGTATCCCTGGGGAAATTCACCATCGCTTTCTTTTATGTTCCAAAATTAATTTTTACTACCGTCCAACACTAGAAGTTCTATAGACTAAGTAACTGACACAATAATGTAGCGTGTAGGCGCTGTTGCTATGGTATGACCGGGAAATAGGCGATACCGGGGTCGTTTCTGGGCAACGGCTCGGTAAACACGTTCCCGCAGCAACAGACGCGAAAGCAACAACAGAAGAGATGTGTTTTCTTTGTGATCTGTGCCGAGATATTATAAGCAAAGGATAAATGTTAGACCCAGTTAGCTCTGCACGGGAGTCTTTGAAGAGAGGACTTCAGCCAGAGCCATTATTTGAGCCGTTACCAGGAAACGTCTAGTAACACTGAGAACGCTGCATTGTGTTCTGTAGTGAACTGTAAAGTGTCGAAATACCGATAGTGTTATAGGTTTTTGCAGTTACGACCTGTAAGTGGATAATAAATCCATTCGCCAATCTAAACCCATTCTGTAGTCACACATACACGTGACAATATGGAGGTTCTTCTTCTTTTTTACCTTGACCAATCAGGCTGTCTGTCCTGTTCCCATTCAAAACTAATTATGAAATTATGGATCTTATAGACTGTTGCTAGAATTCCTTGGGCAGGGGATCAGCCCGCCCTTAGGCCGTTACCTACGCAGGATAACACGGAACCCAGGATTTCAGTGTTTAAGCGGGCAAATGCGTTTCATGCCTTAGGCAGTAGCCTTACGGCTATTAAATGAGGCAAAATCGTGTAGGGCACGGACTTTAGCGGGAGGAGGGGCGGGTATGGACCCGTAGAAGTCCACAAGTCCACTACATACAGTTTGTTAGAGAGAAAGCTCATGAATCCTGCCTGTCGGATTCCACAGTGATCATAACAAGGCTATCTTAGTTCACAAACTTAAACTTATCTTAGTTCAGTTTCTGTGTAAAAATGAATGTCATACGCCAAGAGACCAGCTGTAGGCAGTTTACGGAAATGATTTTGTTTTCAAAACAACCAGTGAACAGTTCCTGCCTCTCTTCACTAACATTTTGCTTATTTATTTCTCTTAATTCCTGCTTAAGGACATTTGTCTGGCGTCCTTGATTCTTCCTCAAAGAGGATGCACTTAAAATGCCTCTCACAATTACATCCCAATGATACTACGATATGATAATTCCCAGTTGTTGGAAGAATTTAATTTCGATCTTCAGATCTTTACAAGCACAAAATAATCCATGAGTCGGCAGAAATACGTAGCTGTGAGTCACTTCACGGATATATTAAATGAGCCGTTCTTTGTAAAGTGATGATTCGTGTTCCATTAACTGCTTAACGTACCGAAGGTTAAAGTAATTTAAGAAAACACGCCGTACAAACCAACACATAGGACTGAAATCTGCCTAAGTCACCAAAAGAAAATTTTCTTCCGAGGAGAAACTTAGACAAACTTTGTTTTTAGGTTTAATTTCAGGCACCCAGTAAGTCACCACATACAGCATTTTAATAACACTCAGACCTCATACTGAACGTTCTAAGGCGTCTCGACGCCGGTTCACTGCGCATGCTGCAGCGTCAACCACGTGACAATCTGAATGTTCACATGATACCATAGACAGACACTGCCCAGTATCTGATGCTTTTGAAACTTTTAAAAATATGTAAAAATGCGTATATATGCCGCGATATCTTCCCCATATTCTGTTTCTGTTTACTGTGGAGACCCGTGTTTTGTGGATTGTGGCCTGGTTACAAGTGGGCCGGTAACCAGTATGTGTATGTGTGTATGTACATATAAAGCGATTAAAATGATGCAGCACAGTACCCTCACATCTGTTTTCCTTCCTTGGATACAGGTCCCTGAAAACCCGGTATTCCTTTTTATTTTGAAAGAAATAATTGTGTATATACAAGAATGGCCCAGGCAATGCCCATCCGGCCCTCCGTAACACATTCATATTGTATCACAGCGGTCACCCCGCCATTTTTGAACATCTCACTTAACACTTGATAACATCTGACCGCCATCTGTGAGCAAATAGGAGAATCAGCAGTGCACAGGTACCCAAGAGCGCCACAGAGTATTGTAGATGTCGGTACCACAGTCAATAAAACAGATAACTATTATTCCATACCAATCCCTGGTATTGTAAAGCTCGTAGTCTGTATACGGCAGGTTCGTTCAAGACAGTTGCAAGAGAAAGAAAAAAAAAAAATTAGATTTAGCGGGAGTATAGGAGGTCATATGGGTCGGGGGTCGCAGGGGAATCATATCAGCAGTTAAGAGGTCTGAATTCGTTAGTGATAGGACATCGCATATAAGAGTGAGAGGTCGGTGGTGAGATATCATTGTTCTGAATGTCCATGCCCCGAAAGAGGATACAAATGATGGTATGAAGGACAGCCTCTATGAGAAATTAGAATGTGTATTCGATAAATTCCGTAAATACCATACAAATGTTTTTTTGTTAAGGAGATTTCAGTGCCAAAGCAGGTAGAGAAGACAATGCATGTAGGATGTTGGTGGGAAAGCCAGATGGAAAGAGACCACTAGGAAGACAAAGATGTAGGTGGGAGGATAATATTAAGATGGGTCTTAGAGAGACAGGATGGAGTGGTCTGGACTAGATAGGTCTGGTGAGGGTAGGGACCAGTGGAGGTCTCTTGTGAACACGGTAATGAACCTTCGGGTTCCATGAAGCGTTAAATTCTTGAGAAGCTGAGCGACTGGCGGGTTTTCGAGACTGACAGCCCAGTGGAGGCACAACAGGTCGGATCCGTGCGACAAGCGGTATGGAACGTATGGAACAAGAGCATGCCCGACAGGAGTGCTCGTCGGATAAGTTCAAAAACAGGTTCGTGGAATTGAGCAGGTTTTCATTTCGGTTTGTTATGTGAAGCAATTTTTGTGGAAGTGGTGGAAAGCATTATGCCTACATAGCGTCACGAAAATTTTTGAGAGACTTTCCTAGCCATGCTCATTTCTGCACGGACTAGTCTGCTGTACACATTTGACTGTGCATTTGACAGCTATGCTTTAATAAACCGATGTGCGCGGTTTGGTTTACCGTTACATTGTGCCAGCTGGAGCGAGCTGGAGAGCTGGGTTGGTAAATGTGTTGATGCGTGAAGAGTGGCAAACGGATTATTAGAACAGCCTTCCATCGATGCAAATTTGAAGCTACTGATAGACATATGACATGAATAACATAAACGGTACCTCAACAAATGAAACTGGTGAGTAAAAGTTCACGGCAATGAAAGGATGGACTTCTCGTAATAACATTATCAAATACCATAGTAGCATTTTTAGTTCGAGTATGAGCTTAATATAACCTATAAGTGGTAACTGGTAAGTAGGAAGTAAGATTATTTCGGGTCATGCAGTATTCCTGTTGGAGACTGTATCGGTGAAGTATGAATCACGGTGCACCATCCCCCCAAATTGCGGCGCAAGATTTACTCCCATGCTAGCTAAATAAAACGAACGTGACACTGTCTAACCTATTTGCCCATTAAAAGTCACATTGCTACACGGTGCCTGAAGATTGTTACTGATATTCGAATACATAATATAACTATGACCAAAAATTATGAAAGAAGACATAATCGATTTGTTTCATTCTGGTCCATCACACTAACAATATTACAAAATTTAATTAATTAAGTTCAGTGTGACTGATTATAAAGGAAAAAACTTCATCAGTCACACTGAACGGAGTTAATTAAACTTTTGGAAGACATAACGGGTTGCATTGCTGAGTGCAGTTTTATGAGTGCAATTACCAATAAGTGATATGATGAATTTATTCACTAGTGAAGATTAACAGAAATTAGAATGACCTATATAAGGTTAAAGTAAATGTTCTCTTGTGTACATATTGCCAAACTTTCACCAGTTTTCACAATCACAAGATATGGATCAGTATCACTGTCAGCTCATCTGGAAGATCAGACTCCAAATATACTGGAATGCTGGCTTGTGCCTGCTGAGAAGTCTCACATTTTCCTAATTCTGCAATTTTGTGTGCTGTCTACTGCACAGCTGCCTTTGAACCTTGGGCAGCACAGTGTTTATTCACCATGTACCATCAGAAGCATGTCCAGTTTCCATCGCAGATATTTGCAGCAGAATTTCTTGATAGCCCGGTGCACATCGGAGCCCCAGCCTACTTGCCACAATGGCATTGTATTCCCTGCTTTCCCAGAAGTTTCTGAAGTTTCTGAATCTACTGCATATAATTTCACTGTCATCACTGCAATTCCATTCTTGACAATGGCATGAGTAGTTTGTGCATACTGTGTATGAATTGAAAATAGAGTAAATTTTCTGTCATTCCTAATTTGTATTTTTCATGCTTCCCAATGAAGCAGGTTGGTATGGTGGTAATGCTCTATCTAGACTTGTATTCAGGAAATGTTTGGTTCAATTCTTGACTGGGACACCTTGTCTAACATGACTGAGGTTTGTGTGGTTTTCCTCAGTCACTCCAGTCAGTTGCCAAGATGATATCCTGATCAGACCGTAGCCTCTTCCTCCTGCATGCTTTCCACTTCATTATTCACTTATAATTCCAACATTCAATTAAGAGAATTAAGAGTTTATGAAATTGTTGATTCTGCCATACAATGTCTGGTTATCAGGTGTGGGTGTTTTGTTGCCGTGGTGTGCACATGAAGGATGAAAATAGGTGTTGCATTTGAGATTATGGCTGTGCTTATGTACGAATGGCAACAGGATGCTAAAATGCAGCATGCTGTAGTGTTGTAGTCAGCATGGTACTTGTTTAATTGAATGTGTAGAACTCTTAAAAAGTCAAGGCTGTAAATAGGTTTTGGTAAAAAGTAAAGCTATCCCCGTAACAGGGGCATGTTGTAGCATAGTTGCTTGAGGCACTATGCTACAAGCAGGAAGGTCATGGAATCGAATCCCAATGAGGTCATTGGATTTTTCAATTGACCTAATCCTTCGAGCCCCAGTATGCCCTGGGGTTAACTCAGCCTCTAACAGAAATGAGTACCAGGAATTTTCCTGGGGGTAAAAGGGCGGCTGATGCATAAGGCTGACAACCTTACCGCCATTAATGAGCCGACTGTCTAGAAGAGATGGGAGCCTTGACCTGTCACAACCCAATGGGCCTTCACGACCTGTTGCAAGGAAAGCTTGTAACAGGCTGTGGAGGCCCATAGGGTTGTGAGACATCGAGACTTCCGCATTTTGTAGACAGTTGGCTCACAGATGGCAGTGAGTTTGTCAGCCTTACACACTGGCCAGCCACCCTTAAACCCCAGGAAGATTCCTGGTGCGCATTTCTGTTAGAGGCTGAATCAACCATAGGACCATGGTGTGGCTGGAAGTATTAGGTGAGTTGAAAAATTCAATGATATCAGGATTCAAACTGGTGACCTTCCAGCATAGTTTTTGGTATCATTATATTTTCATTTTACAGATAGACCATCACCAAGTATTCCTGGGCCATATCGCAGCCCAGAGCAAACAGAGGCATTTCCCCTGAAGCACAGTTTGTATAGAGGGAATGGTGGAGCTGGTAACAAAGTCCATGGGTTAAGGTCACTTACTGAGTGCTGCAGTGGATCTGTCAATAAGAGCGGTACCAGTCTTCGCATTATTGTTCTGTGCTTTGTGGCACTCACCCTGGCTGTGATAGTAGCTCTCACAATTCAGATTTACTATGGAGATTATCAGGTAAGTAATTATGGAAAAATTTATCTGTGTAAGCTGCAGTTATCCCTACAACCAACATTCACCTTGTGCTTCATGAAGTTCTTTCTCTTCAGAAATTATGACATTGTTACACAATCATGTTAAAATGGGATCCATGTTGTTGATTGTGCTAATTTATGTTAGTACCATTAGTGTTCTGTAATTATCTGTATATACTACAAGAAAATCACAATAGTCATGTGATGTTGGGGGGGGGGAAACTGCATTGTCCAGGGTTGTAAAAGTACTAACTGCATGTGGCAAAATTCAACAGTCTTAAAGTGAAGTGTATTGACATAACAGAGTTGCCTCTTTGTTATAACAATCTTATGAATATATATTCCCGTCAACAAGTGTTTTATTCTTTACTACCATAGTCCTGCATAGTGATTTTGTGACATTACCAGCGGAAAGAATTGAGTCCTTGTGGTTACAGAAAGCTTCTACTGGTAATGCCAATATTTCCTGAAAAATATCTCGTTAAGTGTCAGCTGGTAGTCCAAACCATGTAGAATTACTGAAAGAATAAATGATTCACAAATATTCCAATCTCTGGAATTGAAACGTGGAAACTTGGCTAGATGACATAATGTAATACCATAAAGAGATGTATATGAAATATAGCCTCTTCATGCTACTCCAATGAAAGATATCTAACGGGTTTAAGTCAGGAGATCCCTTCATGGTCTCCAGTGAAAAATTTTGTGACTGCTCTGCCAAAATGTAGGTGTGCTGTATTGTGTTATAAGCATGTTTGTCTTCACATCGGAAGATGCGCATCCTTGAAATGTAGCAGTAATTCATTTTCCAGAAAATTCATGTTATATGGAGCTGTTAAACATCCTTCAATAACATGTGCTTCAGTTAGGTCACTTCCCAATACTCCATAAGACATGTTAACTGAAAATCGGCATTGAAAATGACATTCTTCTACCTTGTGAATTTTTGTGTGCCCAAGAGTGCGAATTCCTTATGTTGATAAATTGAACTTCATTTTGTGAACAGAGCGTTATGCAGAATGTGTAGCCATCAGTGCAGCCATTCACAAAATTGTACACAGTTGGCATGAACTCTCAGTAAGAGGCGCTCTGCTTTTTGAAGGTGATTCAGATGGAAACAAAATCATCATGCTACAGAATTCTCCATACCTGTGTCTCTGCTGCACCAGTTATCCTGCAGATTCTGCACATACTTCTACTAGGGCTTCACTGAGCTGTTGCCTGAGTGTCATCTTCTCCACATTGTCATTATTCACATTCTGCGTTCGCTCACTGCTCTCCCCCAAAGTTCAGTGTGCCATCTCATATGTTAAGTGAAGTGGATGTTATTGCCAGTATTCCACCGCAGCTGCCCTACCATTTCCATTGCAGAAATCATGTACGAAATGCATGTTGGCATATTCTTCATTTTGACTACAACTGCACTGCAACACAACACAGCCACACTAGCCTAGACAATGTACAGGCAGGAACTGTAAGTTAGTATAGTTCTGGCTCACGCCACTAATGCTTAAAATTTGATAATGCTCCAAATGTCCTACAGAACATGCTCCTGAAATTTGGCCAATTTATGATGGAGCAGTCTGTGCTTAATGAATGTAATATTTGTAGTTTCACTGATGATCCTCCATATTNATCACCTTGTGATTTTTTCTTTGGGGACACTTAAAGGCACAAGTGTGCAAACATCGCTCTACAACCCTGCAAGCACTTAAGGAGGCAATCACCCAGGCAGTGGCTGCCATTCCACCGGAAATGACACGAAGAACTATGGACAACTTCCGGGAAAGGCTTCGTCAATGTGTGAACAATGGAGGACGCCATTTACCGGAAATAATTTTTAAAACCAAGTAATGTAAAATAGCATCGTATTTGTTGTTCACAAATAAAAGTATTTTTTCTGTATCTTTCTTTGTTTGTTTGTAACTGCCTTTTGAAATATGGGAGGTCGATTTGCCGGACCCTGTAGTTCTACCAGTAAGCTGGCTAGGTCAGGTGCTTTTCTGTTTCTAGAGTTGTTAACAGCTTCCACCGATTCAAATTTAATACATCTTCTGTCTTTTCTTCTGTATCTGCTGCTTCTCCTCCTCCTCCTCCTCCTCCTCCTTCTCATTCTCCTCCTCCTCCCCCAGTTGTATTGGTTCTGACTTCATCATAGCATAGGTATTTGTAATGTTCTATTACTCGTCTCTGTGCACGGTATTCTAGGTATGTCTCAAATGAATCTGGATGTTTCATCGTCTTCCAAGCCACCCCTTTGTCTTCCGTAGATGTCTTTCTGTTCCTATAAATTTGTCCTATAACTAACTCCATGGAGCTGAACCCTTCATGAGAAGCTTCCAGTTGTGCAGTCACTCAAAAATTGTACAGAACCCCAAGGTTCATTACTGTGTTCAACAAGCACTTACTATCTATCTCATGATTCTTGTTGCATTTACTGTATTTCCTCTTCTGTGATGTATCTTTTATCTACATAATTTCTTGTAGTTTATTTTACAATTGTATAAATTGTTCATGTGCTTGCTGTTTCTCAGTTTTGAAGTTTGATTTGGTAATTTGATGTTTGCAGCTTGTTCCCCATGGTAGCGTTGCCACAGACAACCCTCGCTGCTCTGTAGTTGGAACAGAGATCCTTAAAAATGGTGGAAGTGCTGTTGATGCTGCAGTTGCTTCAACGTTGTGTTTAGGAGTGGTGAACCCTCATGTTACAGGACTAGGAGGGTGAGTGTCAGTGCCACTCTTGCTTCTAATACACCCTGTGTAGATATTTTGGCATGTAGACCCATTTTTAGGCAATGACTGCAAAATAAGCAACTATACAACAGCCGTTGCCAAGTAATGAGCCATAAAAAGCAACAGAAGAATGGTGTTTTCTGCTTTTTTTTTGTGGACTACACTTTGAACAACAGCAAGTCAAATTCTGACTACAGGGATTTCAGTTTTGAAAAAGAAGGTCCTATCATCAGATGTGACTTGCGTACTGATATTTGAGCACAAGGCCCTGGCCCTGTCTAGAGTCCCTTAGGAAATGCTTTTCATAGCAGGTATGAGCATACTAGCTTGCTTCTGTCCCATTGAGTGCTGCAGTATATTAAACAAAGTATTTCTGTTATTTTCAGTGGTGGATTCATGATCGTATACAGCCATCGCAACCAGAAAGTATTAGATGTGATTGATTTCCGTGAAGTAGCACCTGCTTATATTAATACATCAATTCATACACCAGGCAGTTATGTGGGTGTGCCAGGTGTGCTGAGAGGACTTGCTATGGCACATGAGTTGCATGGAAAATTACCATGGATGGATATCGTCATGCCTGCAGTGCATATTGCACGGTAGGCAAAACAAATCCATTGACTAAGTATGTAACAAATGATTGTGAAAATTAATAAGTGGAGCAAACGTACAAAAGTTTGTGTAGTTCGTTGTCCATTAAAAATGAAACTGCCATGTGTGTAACGGACCTTGTGTTGCATCATTGTCGTCTTTTATATCCTGTTCCATCATTAACTGTTTATGACAGCCCTAAACAATTAAGAAACATAGAAAACATAGAACAAATGGTAAAGACAAAAGATGTTTCTCTTGGGGGTACAACTCTGGGAAATTTGTCAGTTTCATTGTTACATGCATGAGTTTTGTTAATTGTACTGTTACATCCTGAGTTTGAATCCAAGTTGGTTTATTTCTCTGTTATTTCCTCCGCAAGAAACACACTGGGACAATGACACCAGCGAGTTCGTTTGTTTATTTCAACATAACTAAACTGTGGGTTCATGAAGGATGAGATGAGCATGACATGTAGCACGAATAGGGGAGAAGAGGAATGCTTGTAGGATTTTGGTGGGATAACGAGAAGGAAAGAGACTGCTAGGAAGACCAAGTCATAGGTGGGACTGGATTATCTGGCTCAAGATAGGTACCAGTGGAGGACTCCTGTGAACATGATAATGATCCTTCGGTTTCCATACAATGTTCAGAAATTCTTGAGTAGCTGCACAACTGGCAGATTCTCAAGATGGGCTCGTCTCCATGGAGTTAGTTTAGTTAGTTCAAGCATATTTGTGAAATTGGTGTACATTCTTACTACAAGTTTATGTGTAGGAAATTCCAAAGTCTTTTAAACTGCTTTAGAGTTGGAATACAATTTTCTTTGTATCGGCTGCCCACATAATCTGTGTTGAGGGTCCCACATTATCTAGAGAATCAGCTCAGAGATGGTGGTAATGTTGTCAGCCATACGCACCGGCCGCACTTTATCCCCCAGGAAAATTACTGGTTCTCATTTCTGGTAGATGCTGAGTCGACCCCAGGGCCATATGTGGCTGGAAGGATTAGGAAAATTCAAAAATATCCAGTGACCTCATCAGGACCTGAACCCGCAACCTTCCTGCTTGTAGCATAGTGCCGCAACCAACTACACTACTGCGTGCCCCCTGCAATGCAAGCACAACTTCAAGAAATCTCTGCCCTGGCTACTATTAAGCTGAGAACTCTTCTCTGCGTAGTCACTGGTGTGATGCACGAGGCATAATTATCATATACAGTTACGTTCAAAGGCTTATGGCGCACATGTACCAATAATCATCACTGAAAATGAAAAGAAGTGTTAATGTGTAATTGTGTGAGAATGCAAATAAAACTCTGTATATAAAGCCAGTTGTTTCAGAATTTTGTACATAGGTAAATGAATTCTCTGGCAACAAACCAGCCTATAATAGAAGTTAACAGCTTAAAATTGTATTAAATACAAATTTGATTGTGACATGCTGCAGAATTGAGCATTTAAACTCGAAAGCTCTGGCCAAGAGTAGGCACAGGTGAATTTAAGTGTCATATGCTAAAGGGTAAATGAATTGGAAAGGCTGTGGGCAGAAGATATTTTGACCTAATTTAAGGTACTGTTCCATCATCTGCCTGGATGGATTCAGCAATGTGTGTGAGGATAGCTGGCCTCCAGCCAGATGATGGACCTTCGAGCCTTATGAGTAAGAAGCAGAAAGTCTAATGATTTTACTGCAATGTTTTGTGTATATTGTGTCTAGTTTTCCACATATAATAAGTTAGTTGCAGTGTACAACTATTGGGTTTCTGGACATTATCCATTGTCCTGTTTTTATGTAAAACACAATGTTTGGGAGACTGGATTCTGTCTCTGAAATGTTGTATTTTCAATAAAAACAGGACGATGGATAGCGTCCAGAAACACGATATTTCTATCAATATACCATCATCACAAACTTTTAGATCTCATTGCAGTATAATTGTAGGTTATTAAAATTACTATTGAGGTTTTATTTTGGTTCAGATTGGGCCTCAAAACATGAAGGCTGAGAAAAATTTGAGTAAAGATTGAGGAGGTCAAAAATTGTGTGAACGTTGTAATGATGAATTAGATGTATTGTCATAATTTATGCTGTTAATATTCTTTGTGAAGATTATTGTATCCTATTCTCAGATGAAAAATATTACAGTAATTCCACTGACTGGTCCAATATATTTGGGAAAACTGCTTTGAATGATATGAGCTGTTTAAAATAGTCCTTTTGTAGTAATGGTGCTGAACATGTAGGTTACATAGTAAGGAATTTTGTTGTCAGTTTAGCAAGTGTGAACTGTTAAAGAGAGCCTCTCTACCATGTTTATAACTAATAATATAACTTGTTATCTATTTACAGATCGGGCTTCCAAGTCCCTGAGTCTCTTTTTGCTGCGAAGGCCCATCTGGATTTGAATGTATTATTCAATCGAAGACTTATTAACTGGGCTGCCCCACTAGAAGCTGGTCAGCACCTCACCCTGCCTGAACTGGCAGCCACATTGGAGTTAATTGCTGCTAAAGGACCTGATGGTTTGTAAATAATACTCAACTTCAGCTGGGTGCTTGGTGGTGGACTAACATCATGGGTAGCAGGTACTGCATCTGTTGTAAATAGTTTCTTTATTTACACATCATATGGATGCAATGTTAAAAGGAAAAATTCCAACAACCATGTCAGGTATGACTTCAAGTCTATGTCGTGTCAAATAACAAAGCCTCCATAGGTCATTCTTGTATTAATTTAGAAGGGACCATTTCCACATCCTAGGCTTGTTACCCGTATGGATATATGGAAAATAAAGGAAATGAATGAAAGAGAAACTGACTGCAAGAATTATACAGCGTGAACTCATTAATTGATCCACATGACATGTACAGTGTAATCATCTTAGAGCTCGGCGCAAAAGTTGGAGCAGCCCAGACAGAAGAATCTGGTGTCCCTCACATCTGGCGATGTCATGGAGATTTTGAATGCTTGCAGAATCAACAAACTTAACAGTGTAGCAGATTTCAAGCAAAACTTCCCCAAACTAGAACAGATATTAGAAGGGCTGTCCCTTCTCAACGTCAGGAGAATGTTCAAGCCTGGAACTGATTTATCTTTAGTTGGGGGAAAGAATAATAGCATCAGCAGCAGCAGCAAAGTGCTCATCAAAATGAAATTTGGTACTAGGCTTCAACAGTTTCATTATGGTGTATTGACGCATCCAGCTGCACTGTGTATTTCAATTCTAGGATTCTCTCTTCACCTTCTCTATGCACCTCTGTCCATATGTTGAATTCCCCCTTTGAGGCTCTTTTGTCTGTTTATTATTTATTTAACTCATGTTTTGGCCTAACTGGCCATCAGGTGTACACTGTTGCATACAAAACTGCTGCGCTGGTGTTATCCTGTTGTAAAATGCTTATAAAATATTGGCTTCTTTTGTTTGTACATGTGTCACAAGTCTGGTGTATCCATAACCAGTAAAAGTTCAGAATACAGATCCAGACAACTTTCAGTGTTTAAAAGTATGGGAGTGGTGGTAGAAATAGTGAGAAGTACTGTGCGTGGAGTGGAAAAATTGTCGTGACTCTTTCAAGTGAATGCATGCATGTGGTCATAGTTCTTCTGACTGGTACTGGAGTATGTTATAACAATTTATTTCTGTTGTGAAATATTCTTTTGAAGCATGGTATGAAAAGTATGCTGCTTGGAGTGAACGCAGGTCTATGTATTTGCAATCTCCTTTCATTGGAGATGTTTCATGGTGACTATGAATTAATGCCATTCAGTTTACAGCACTGGCTTCCTACATCACTGGATCCTGGAAGTCTGTTATAAGGATAATAAATAACAACATGATTACTGCACAAAATATTCTGGTTGGATGACAACTGATGAATTGTAACTTTTCACTCTCCATTAGTGTGCAGATGTTTTAAGCATTCTATTAGTAGTGGTGTGCACTTATAATGACGAAACCGCACGGAGCATGAGCTGGATGATGCCAACAGAAATCTAAAATTAATACTTGTTAAATCCAGTGTATGTGGTTTTATTTATAACTGGAGCTCAGTTTTCACACATTGACTTTGGTTAAAAATTATTGAATTATTGCATATTGTATATGCCTCACTGATTATCTGTGATTACATTTATTTTTCAGTTTTTTATAATGGGAGCATTGCAAGAAATGTCTTGCTTGCTGTCGCAAATGCAGGAGGCAAGATGACTGAACAGGATCTGGCCGGTTACCAAGCAGTAAGGCGCTCTGCATTGACAGCTACATTTGCTGACTTCAGTGTATTGGTTCCTGACCTCCCATCGGGAGGACCAGCTTTATTGGCAACCCTGGAATTGCTTTCTGCTCTAAATTCTTCTAGAGGTGGACATGGAATGTCTCCGTTGAACATTATCAGTTTGGCAAATGCATCTGAAAACGTTTATAGAAGGGCACTTCTTGGCATTTGGGGTAATAATCTACATAAATTATTGGAATTTCATATTTATAAGACAGTTACCTCTTATGTCTTCTTTGCATCAAATTTATGTGGCTAGTATGCAACAGCGAGAGCCAGGATCTCAGTTGTGTAGAGAAGGGTTACAGGCTGGATGGCTGGGATTCAATTCCCGGCAGGAGAAATAGATTTTTTTTCTGTTCCACAGTATCCAGACTAGCTATTGGGCACAATCAGACTCCTATCCCCTATTCAGTGGGCACACGGGGCTCTTTCTCAGAGGTAAAGCAGTCGGAGTGTGAAGCTGGGCACTCATCTTCACTCCCCCATATGTGTGGGGACATCTTCACATTACATTAATACACAATAGGATCATAAATATTCATATATTAATACATCACATGGACAGTAAAGAGATTGAAACAGACATTTTGTGTTTCAGGTGATCCAAATTTCCAGGATGAAGAATATGATAATGATAGAGGTAAAGTCAGTTTGGGAAAATTGACACAGTCTGTGGGCTCTCATGTTGCAGCAGTGGACTTGAATGATATTTATGTCTCTGTTGTAAGGTGGGATTTTCGTCATCTTAACATATATTGATTTATTTGTGTTGTTGCTGAATTCCATGCTGAAATACATATGATCTGGTTCTCTTTCAGTGGTCTCAATGCATGGTTTGGTTCACAGTTGCTTACAAATGACGGTTTTATACTGAATAATGCACTGACCAACTTTGGAGTGGGAAAGAATAGCCCATTTCCAGGCAAGCGACCAATGTCGTTCAGTACACCTGTCATTGCTACAGAAAAGAGACGTATATGTGGACGCAGATTGGTGCTTGGCTCAGCGGATGTGGCACTGGCAGCCCAGCTTCTGTCGCATCTCCTTGTATTGGACATGAATGTGACGTGGAGTGTGGAGGCTCCTCGTTTCCATATCGCACATGGCAATAATAGTATTTTTATTGAAGGTGACCATATTAACATTGTTTAATTATTACAAAGAGAATTGTATGTATTGTCATGTGTATGAGTGACCACTTACAAATCATAACTATAAATAACTAACACTGTCATTAGCTACCTTTATGTCATGATTTTGCCCTGCATTCTGGTGAAGAGACGGCAACATATACTTAATTTTTTCTGCATTTACTTCTAGACCAACTTCCCTACTACTGTAGTATCAATTATAGTTTATGTATTTTTCTTTTATAATATCTACATTATCACCCAGTAGATTCACATCATCAGCATAGACCAACGGCGGATGTGTCCCATTTAACTTCAGTCCCACATGGTTTTCCTGGACCTTTCTAATGGCATATTCTAAAGCAAAGTTAAAAAGGAGTGCCGATAAAGCATCCCCTTGTTTTAGACTATTCTGGATAAGAAATTTATCAGACAACTGTTATCTATACAGACTTTACTATACGTTTCGTTTAAACAAATTTTAATCAGCCTGACTAGTTTCATGGGCACCCCAAACTCTATCAGAATATTGTACAATTCTTCTCTCCTTACTGAACCATAGGCTTTCTTGAAGTCTACAAATAGCTGTTGTACTGTCTTATTGTATTCCCTTTTTTTCTCCAGTATCTGACAAATGCAAAAGATCTGATCAGTAGTTGATCGGTTACGTCAAAACCCACACTGATAATCCCCAATAATTTCATCTATATATGGACTTTACCTTGAGATAAGAATATTGGATAAAATTTTGTATGAAGTTGATAGAAGTGATATCCCATGATAATTACTACAGTCACTTATATCACCCTTGTTGTGAACTGGTACAAAAAATAGACTCCTTCCACTGATCAGGCAATTTTTCCTTATTCCAAATAAATTTAATTAGCTAATGTATCTTAGAACAAATATTTCACCTCCTGCCTGAATTTGATCACTACCTGGCGATTTATATCTTTTCAACTTTGCAATAATAATTTCAGCCTCACTTGAGCTAGGATCAAGTACTAATGGCTCATCTGTATGAATTTCTGTTTGCCTAACTGCAATTTGGTTTGTTTCCTTTGATCTAATAATTTTGAGCATACGTCATTGAACTATGGTTATGCTTCTTCAGTTCATAATAACCTAGATTCTCTGTGGCAGAAATTTTGATATTCTCTCTAACAGTTTCCCTAGCTTTGTTAATATTCACATCAGTATCTTAAGTTTTTCAAAGTGGCAAACCTGTTTCAGATTTGAACACGACACTGCTCCTTACCCTCTCCCTCGTTTAATTTCTAGAGATTGAAACTGTTTATATGAACTCTGTGCATTGTTTGTTTGCTCACTGCCAGTCTTTCCCTAACCTTTGCCACCACCAGGTAGTGGTCAATATCACTATCTGCTGCCCTGAATGATCTGACATCAAGCATACTTGAGTGCCGTCTCCTATCTATCACAATATGGTCAATTTGGTTGTGCATCTTCCCATCAGGAGATGTCCAAGTAAATTTATGAATGTTACGATGTGGGCATCTTACTTTTGGCAGTAAGATTTTTGGATGTGGCAGAGTTAACTACTCTAACTCCATTGTCATTGGTAATTTCTTGTAAAGTTTCATTCCCAATTCTTGGCTTGAAAATGTCTTCCCTACCTACTTTGGCATTGGAAGCGTTTTTCCAGCTGCGCTATTGACTACTTTCATATTTGTTCCATTCCCCATACACTTACACTGTATGGCAGGTAACCATAAGTACCCCATCCTACCTCTTATGAGGAACTTCCATTTCATGTTATCTGTGTGCATGAAAGGCTTAACTTTCTTTTACTTTCTTACAGATTACCATGTACCTGCACTGAGCAAGAACGCACAGGAGTCTCTTGAAAAGTATGGCTATCATCTGGAAAGTCTGTCCAAACCATATCAGAGCTGTAACATTGTGGAGAAAATTGGGGATGATCTTACATCGCATTCTGATTCCCGTGGAGGGGGCATATCGTCTCGATTTTAATTTAAACGCTCTCTCTCTCTCTCTCTCCTGTTGCTCCCTCTTTGGAGCATAGGGCACATGTGAAACACTTTGTTTCATCTCAGATTCTTAATCCTAAGCCAGTTGGTAGGACTCCTTGGGCAGAGGATCAGCCCGTTACAAGGCCGCTACCTACAGTGCTCGAGTGAGTAATGACAGTTCATGTCTTAGACTGCGTGACCGCTGTGATTGGCAATTTAAACACTAGGGAAGCAAAAATTTAAATCGTTTACTCGAGCACTGGGATCATAGGTTCTGATCTCAATCAAGGCATGGATGTGTGGCTGCATTTATTCTGTGTTGGTGTTGTTCTGTGTAGGTAGTGGCCTTGTGACCAACTGATTCCCTGTCCAAGGAGTCATACTGACTGTGTTGGGATGAAGAAACTGAAGTGAAACAGCATTTGACGGACGCCCTACACCAGTTGTTCTCAAACCTTTGTGAGTCCACGGCCTGGTAAATTCTTTTTTTATAAGGCAAGGTCCCAGTGTAGTTGATGCCAGGGCCTGGTACCGGGCTGTGGTCTGGCTTTTGAGAAAACTGTCCTATGCTCCAAAGTGAGAGCAACAGAGAAGAGAGAGCATGTCTGAAAAAGTGGAGCTTTGTTATATCTAGAACATCTAGAACAATGTTTTCTAATAGAAATTTGAAGCTTGTCATGCATGTGGTTGTCATATTACCGTATTTGTCACATTATGTCTTAGTAATTAGGTAGATATTTCATACTGTGATTTGAGTCCACAGTAAAATGTGGGTTGGTGTTCCAACTCATTGCTTGCAACTGCTACTAACGACTGACACATCACATCCACTGATCATGTTATCCTCTGCAATGCATCTGAACAAGCACATGTGGCTTTAGACTCCCCCTTAAATGCAGGCTACAGCAGCACTCAGCTCATGGTTGTGCTTAGGTTCAGCTTCAAGTTTTCATGCTGCAGTTGCCTTGAGACTGCATTTGACAAATGAAGGTAAAGTTGTCCCTGTGCTTAACTAATGAAGCACTATGCCGTCAAGGTGTATGGGGGAGTGGATGCATAGACCCACGTTTTCTTGATCTTGGCACTCAGAGGTGAGTGGTCAGCTTCACATACCAGCCCTTTACCAGTCTGGACGACATGGAGAAGTGTAAATTCTTGTCCCCACCGGGACTTGAACTCTGACCCCTTGGTTGTTCAGCCCATAGCCTGTTGCTATACTGACTGCACGATCCTGGCTCTGGCATTTGACAAATTCAGAGTTATTATTATTGTCCTATATTAATGCATTTACCACAGTGCAGTGACCTGTCCACCACATATGGCAAGTGACAAATTTGTTCAACACTGCTGTTCTAGAAAGTGCTGTCAGTGATTCAATTTTTAGTCAGTGATAGCGACTTACAGGATGTAATATCACCTATGTGTGTTATAAAATGTTCCCTTTATTTAGTTTTAAAATTTCATCAGAAATACTTCTGGTTCTTTGAATATTTGCCAAAGCCATTATCTTTCTGCAGGTAGTGTCGGGCTTGATTTGATGTCATGATGTAAAAGAATCACTTTGTGTACGTAGTATTAAGATAAGTATTAAACTTAGTCAGAACCTATAGGGAACAGCAACAGTCTCAAAATTTCAGACTACAGCATGTTATCTGTGCGTAAGTCTTAATGAGATTTTTCATCCAAATATTTCCATATGCATGGTACATAACCCGCACATCTCATTTGTTTGCCTGAATTACCCTAACAGTACCAGGTGGAATGCAAAACTGCAGGCCCAAATTGTAATGTTGGTGGCTGCTGACATTGTACCTGCTGCTGTCAGTATTGTTAATTGTGATGACAGCTGTGTTCACTATTGTAATGTCAGGTGGTGCTGTTTCTAGTGGTGGCATCTGACATGCACAAACTACTGACTGTTTTTAACAGGGCTGTCATGGTTCCTGTGGAGTATCTGGGGAAGACACTCTGTTGCCTCCCCTGTTATGTCACTGTGAAAAGTGCTGTTACGTCACCGCGGGAGGCGATGGGAGTGTTTACCGAGCGTTGTGTAATAATGGAAGGGGTGGGGGTATGTGTCATCACTTGCGAGACTGCAGAGTTCACGTGACACTGGATGCAACGGCTGGAGAGTAGTCGCTGCAAGAGGAGTAGCCGAAACAACAGGAGATGCAGCAAGCACAGCCTTGGAAGAAAAGGAATGGGGATGCACCGTTAGGCTGTTCGGGATGAACAGCCTTTAGAAGGGAGCAGTGTGACGTGGATGGCGCAATGGGAAGTAGGGGTCACGTGAACTCTGCAGTCACTCTGCACTCTGCAGTGACATCACATACCTCCACCCCATCCATTATTACGCAACGCTTGGTGAACACTCTTTCACCTCCCGCGGTGACATAACAGCACTTCCCACAGTGACATAAGAGAGGACACCGCAGTTACTACACAGCAATAAACAACTTGCGGCAGCATTCCCCAGCAATGCCTGTAAACACGACGTTACACAACAACAGTGGTAGCTATCACGTAACTGTTTTCCGTGTTGTCAGTGCAGATGCTACTAGAGTAGTGAGTATTGAGCCAGTTACTAGAGAGAGAGTAACCAGTCAGTTGCAGTCTAGCAGTCGCCGAAGTGAGTTGAAGTCCATTGTTATTGAGTGAATGGTAGCAGTAATTGTGATACTGCAGATGGCAGTACTTGTGAAATTGAGAATTGTGTAAGTGTAAGAGCGAGTGTTCAATAAATTCGGTAGATCCGAGACAGCGTGTTACACACCCAACACGTGGCAATATATATGAAGTATATTGTAAGTTAATAAATTGTTTATTTATTTCTGCAGAATGTGATTTCTTGTATGTTATTTATTTATTTATACAAGTTCCCACAATATTTTGAACAGGCAGAAAAATTACGTGTGTCAGCTGTTGAATCTTCATGGGGTTAATGATGTTAGGCAGACTTAATACACGCACCTGTCATTAGTACCATAACGTAGTTCCTTTGAAGTTGAGTCCCTATTAGAAAGAAAATGTTGGTCGGCATGTAAAGGCAAGAGACCTTTTGGAAAACTAGACATACATGGGACAGTAATACTAAAATCTATCTAAAAGCAACAGGATGGGAGGGTGGATTGGATTAATCCAGCTTGAATAAATTCCAGTGTTCAGCCATTGTGAACACAGTAATGAACGTCTGAATACCTTAAAGTGCAGGGAATTTCTTGAGCATCCAAGTTAACAGTACATGGTTTATGCTAACCGTCTTACAGTGTATACACTTTTTCACAACGCATGCAGTAACAGGAGCAAAACACAACACAGAACACGATACACAAATGTATGTAGGAAGAATGCTCACATAAAAAAGGATTGGCGTAATTCGCGTGTTTGAGTGCGATGTAGGATGAATCCTGAAAAGTTTTATTATTTAGAATTCATCGACATATATGACGAATACAGATTTCAGTCATTTTAGAATGAAGACATCATGGCATGCAGTACAATAGTTTAACGTGCATAAAGACACCTGAGGATGGCACATTAGTGCTGAAACATGTAGTGTGGAAGTGAAGAATAAGGTGAAAAAGTGTATACACTATAAGACAGTTAGCATAAACAATGGACATGAATCAGTGTAACAGGACGCTAAAATATAACAGAGTTAACAGTAGTTTCTTGAAGACTGTTGAGCATAGAGTAGTTATATGTATATTAAAATAATATTTAAGCATATTAGTTTGTTGAATGAGTTAAACTTAGAGATAAATTTAATCCAGAAACACCTTTTAACATTTTTATAAAATTACACTCAGTAATTCTTATTATATTTACATGTTACAATAATCCTTTCAGTGCTACAGGACTAGATATCTTGTTAAAGAAATATGTTTACTCTGAACAGATAACATATGTGTTCATTAGTATGAGCGAAAGGAAACATTCTTTCCTTAACTCAATTGAAGGCATATGTGAAATTGTACCATTGTAAATTAAAAAAATTAGTAAAATAAGATATTATAGAAACAGAAGTGAAAGATATTGCTTTAAATTGAACTCAGAATGGATAGGCTTAACAGCAAAAAACCTGTAATTATTATTATTTTATAATACATAATTTCAGAGATAATGCAACCGTGTTTCTTTCAGTTATCATGCCGTAAACACAGTTTAATTTTTAACACAGGGAGGTGATTGTATTTTGATTATGTAAGATATTTCAGACATAGAACTTCACTTATGTGTACTATGAAATAGTCTTTGACACATGTAGTATATTATTTACAAATGTAATTTCCATTTAACACATTTACTTTAACACGTTACATATAATGAAATGTTTCACGTTGTTCTCATTACTGTCAGCAGCCCAACATTGCTGTAGGACATCAGCACACAGAGTCCTGCAGTTAGAAGCGTCCATGTGTTGTAGAGCTCAGCACTTGTGCTTGGGTTTTCACAGTTGACATTGCACACTGCCACTAGGGAAGAGTTGAGGCATACTGTAGAATAAAACTGACTCAGTATTGATGGTTAAGGGATGTTAAAACATGTGGTTACTAAAGCTTTCTTCAAGCAATAATAAGTTGGAGCTGAATGTATGACATGCCCTACATTTCACATGTTTAAGGTAGTTTAATGCTACTGTATGTTTATCCACAGACTACAACACTTAGCTTCAAAGAAAGAAACTCTTTGGTAATATGACACCCCTGTGAAAGGGGATTCAGTTCAGATCTAGCATCTAACAGTTCATTAACCATAGCAAACACAGAGAGAAATAACTCTAATCTACCATTCTACTGAACACAGAGAATTGTTAACTTTCCACAGATTACTAGGCTAGCAGAAATAATTACTTTTGTTGTTTATTATTTTTATTTATAGTAGACAGAGTAAATACCAAGTGTGGCTTGTGTTTGGAAAGACACTAGCCCAAATATTCTCATTGATTCGTTTTCCTAATTTTCTGCTATAATAGTCTAAAATAGGGAGCAGTCAGTACCTCTTCTCTCCTCCCCCCCACACCAATCATGATATTTGTCATTGATGTATCATAGTTCTCCATTTCCGTGACCTTCACAGTGAGAAGTGGTTTTCCTTGTTCCTTCCAGATCAGTGTGAATATAATAAGTCTCATAGAAAAACTATCTGAAAAGCTTACCTGAAATAATGGAAACAATTAGTCACACTTCCAAGTAAACTTTTGTCTTTCGTGGTTATCACTCTGGTATGAGTTAAGTTACTAGTAGTTTCTTGTTTAAACAAACAAGATCTTGTCCAGTTCGTATACATACTATGCAAAGAATGTGAAAAATCATGATGGAATCTGTGCAGGATTCTTAAAAAATATTAAAAATTCAGCACTTAGAGTTTCAAGTAACAAACTTGTTGAAGCACCATTTCTTTTTGTGCTGTGAATTTCATACAGCCACTGTTCAATTGTTCATAGCAAGCCAGATGGTGAAGAGACTCAGCATCCATGGTGCACTGTTACATTTCTGTAGGCTGGACACTTGCACCATCGAGGACGCGGCAGAAGAGGCATTCAAACTCCTTCCGTCACGTTGCCAGGATGGAGCATTGCTCCTTCGTGACAGACTTATCTCCCGCCATGTACCAACTGAAATGTATTAGAATTATAGTTATGTTTTAGAAAGAATATACAGAATGTATTACTTTTGTGAGATTCTGATCTTAGCTTTGTCACATGCTGGACACTGATGTCATTTTTAATGGAAAAGTAGCAAGACAGCAACCTTATTCAAAGCTGCTGCACAAATCATGTGAACAACACGAGGAAATCTAGCCGAAATGTTGCCATCTGGAACTGAGATGGAAGCAGGTTATGACACAAGCAGGAACAGTGACAGGCGAGAGATTCCAGAACACTCTTAGTTCTTATGTCTACTGAGGAGCCCTTCGTTGGGTGAGTGGTGAATCTGAATCATGAATTTACCCAGTGTTACAAATAGTCATACCTTGAACGAAGGGTCCTGTATTCAACATCATAAATTAAGTGATGGTATTGCTTTGAATTAACTTTCAGGAGAATGCTGTATTAGTATTACAGGTGGGAGATGATTGATGGACAGAAAATTGGCATAAGCAGCAGACAGAGTCTGCGGATATTTAATGCAGAGGTAACTAGAAGACTGGAGAGTTGAGAATTAGAAGTAATGGAGCGAAGAATTGACTGGGAAGAGAAAAGGCAGATGCCTGGATCCAGAGAGGATGTTGGAGAAAATAATAAAATATAAGTTTGTATATTAATATTGCATTTGTAAATATATAATAAATATTATAGTTATACTCATGCAGTTTCTTTTCTGTCTAGAATGCAACACACTTTTTATTTTATATGACACCAAAATGTGTTGCGTGAAGATGGCCCTGTGAGGCTGAAACATGTAGCCAGACTGGACCAGTGATTGAGGCTAGCTCTTTCTAACAGACCCAACAGAATAGGTGTTTTCCTTCACCTGAGGACAGAAACAGATCCAGTTTCCGAAACGTCGTGTTTTTATTAATTATCTTAAAAACCAGGACGATGGATAAAGTTCAAAAACCCAATATATCAGTGTGTTATACACCATCGTCAGAATCCTATAGTAACTACTTGTAAGTTTGGTGTCGTCTAAAATAAAAAAAAGTGTGTTGGATTATAGACGGAAGTGAAACAATAAACCTTTACATACACTTCGTGCCTTATAGAAGGCAGGAATTCTTACTGCTGAGGTAATAAGGTAAAGCAATCCCTGTAGCAGGCTGTGGAGGCCCATAGGGTATGAGATGTTGAGGCTTACACATTTTCGAGAGAGTTAGCTCACATGTGGAGGTGAGGTGCAGCTGGAAGGATTAGGACAGTGGAAAAATCCAATGACCTCATCAGGAATCGAACCAGCGACCTTCTGGCTTGTAGCATTGTGTCTCAACCAACTATGCTACCACATGCCCATACTACCCAGGTACCCAACTTAATTTTATCTAGAATGTAAAGCAATCCAGCAATTTCTGCATGTTGATGATGATGAGCAGAGAATTGGGCAACATTTTCTCTTATGTTTTGCAGCTAGCCTACCTCCGTTTCCAGGCATGAGGATAGACTTTCCAGGTGTGTACAGCTGTGTGGATGTTGGACTGGTAGGACTCTGTGCTTGTGCAGTATTCATATTCAGCTCTGGAATGAAGAAATACCCGCATAAAAGACTCAGTTGCTCAGAGGACAACATTTTGTTTCCACATACTATAATTAAATGTAATAACATTCTCAAAATTAACTCATCAAATAAAAAAGTATGAACGGTTTAAAAGATTTATGCCATTACTATCCATACCTTTCTTCTGAAATATTCTTTTTGTTTGGTATATACAGTATTTAGCCATATGCCAGTAATTGTAATGAAACCAATTCTCTCAGTTATGTAGGAACTCTACACAATTCAGGTGTATAATATTCCCATTGAAGTTTTTCATCAGATTAACTGACAGGAAGTTTGAGATTTGGGAAATGACACAATCGGGGAAGGTATTTTATTTTTTTTATTGCTATTGGAGTGGGACTAAGTCCCTTGTACTGCTGCCATTGCTGGCCTATTGTACCAGCCCCAGATGATAGGTGAGGGTGATTGTGGAGCAGCTGGTGGAATGAAGATTGGCAAGGGAAACCGAAGTACTCTGAGAAAACCTGCCGCAGCGCCACTTTGTCCACCAAAAATCCCACTTGACCAGACCCGGGATCGAACCCGGCCCATCGCGGTGGGAAGCCAGCGACTAACCGCTTGAGCTGTGGCACAGTACATCGGGGGAGGTAAGATGAGTTTACCCTGCCTTACGGTGTTTTGCTATACATAAGATGACACAAAGAATTTCGTTTAAAAAAAAATGTAAAAAATGAGCAACTCTACAAATTTGAATTTAATACATATAAGTTGTGTTGAAGTTCGTAAATATGAGTATAAAAATTTGTATTCAATTAGGTAGAGTTATTACATAAAATATTTTCCCTTTTGGATCTTAAAATATTTGTTTCTACATTCATATTACCCGCTTTTTGGAAATATCAATGCTACGGTTAATTTTGTCATTGTCACAGAATAGGTGTCCATATACACAGAGGTTTTCATACAGTTCTGGACCATAACTGCCCTGATCTGCTGAGATAACCCCCCCTCTGTGTGTGTGCGTGGGCACACATATACGTAATCACAAAACCATTGAAATACAATATAAAATATTTCATAATCACTTCATATGCACAGATAAAATAATTATGCTTCTGTTAATTATATTTGAGGTATATTAAATATATCTAAAATAACTTACATTACACTTGAAGGTTTGTTCCCTAAATCGGTTAAATACAATTATGTTTAAGGTGAGCGTAGTGTTATGTTGCTTATGTCATGTTGGACATCCATTGTCAGTATGTTTATGTTACATTTTTTAGAAATGTTGCTGTCTTGATTCTAAGATTTAATCTATCTTCCGCTAAGTTACTTAAATTGTTCTTGAAATATATTGATGTTGTACATGGTGTAGTTGATGTGTTACGCTCTTAAACTTGTTTATGTGTTCTTCTTGGTGTAGCTACAGTGCTTAGTAATCCGTTGTCCTATTTTATCCTGCTATGTTTCGCTCGTTCTTAAGCTCTTTTTCCGCGATGTGATTCCGGTCCTACGATTTTATTCCTCAATGGCTTAATCGGAATGATTTCAATTTCTTCATGTATTCTTTTATTAGGATGAAAATCCAATGTACACAATGACGCGCGCGCACACAAACTCACGCGAACACAAAGACGAGCGCAAACAAACGCGCGTACGCACACAAACACACACAAGCGCGCACAAAGACGCGCGTACACAAACACGTGCGTACACATCGACGCGCCACACAAACACACACAAGCACTCAAACGCGCGCAGAAAAAGACGCGCGTACACAAACACGCGCGCATAAACACGTGCGTACGCAATGACGCGCGCACACACAAGCACTTAAACACAAACACACACAAGCAAATACACACAATGACGCGCACGCACAATCGTGCGTACACAATTCCGCGCGGGCACAAACAAATACACAAGCACTCAAACACAATGACGCGCGTACAAAATAGCGCCCGCACACAAACACGTGCGTACACAATGGCGCGCGCACACACACAAGCACACAATGACACGCACGCACACAAACACACACAAGCACTCAAACACACACATAGTCGCGCGGACACAATGACGCACGCACACACACAGACGCGCGTACACAATACCGCGCTCACACACAAACAAATACACACACAAGCACTCAAACACACAATGACGCACGCACACAATGACACACTGAATTGTAAATAAAAAGCATATTTTTAACATCGGACATGGAAAATATTTCTCTGTGTAACAAACCAACAGAACTGAGTAAATGTTTTCGTACACATATGTACAAGGGCACGCGGTAGCATAAGTTGGTTGAGACACTATGCTACAAGCCGAAATGTCTTGGGTTCAATTCCTGATGAAGTCACTGGATTTTTCAATTCGCCTAATCCTTCCAGCCGCNGGGGGGGGGGGGGGGTAAAGGACGGGCGGCGCGTATGACAACCCTACCGCCATCTGTGAGCTGATTGTCTAGAGAATGTATGGAGCCTCGACGGCCTGTTATAGGGATAGCTTTACCTTTTTTCTTTTTACTGGGAATAGCGTACGTTTGACATAAGACGAATTTGAAGTACATGTCAAGTTTTATTTCTTTATTGACTACAAAAGTCGTGCATAAACGTAAAGCAGAAACGTAGAGTGCACATGTATTCTGGTTTAACAGTGGTCGTATAGGAAGCTACAACCTCCTTCCGAACTGGCCCAGTTCTCATGTCAACATTTCGAACATATTCTGCACTTTACCCAGCCATCCTCGAATATTTCTACACCCTGTACAAGCGGTAGGACCAGGTGCCCGTATTTATATCCCCCAGTAACAGGGTAGCCCAGTTATACCCCCGGGCATTGGGTTCCCTTTTAGTCGCCTCATACGACTCGTAGGGCTACAGTGGAGGTAATCGAACCCGCCTCCACACGGGACGGCACAAAAGTCAGTTAACCATTCTCGAGTGTTAATGAATAAAAAAGGTAAAGTTGTTCATATGCTTAACTAATTAAACACTACACCATGAAGGCGTATGGGGCAGTGGGTGTATAGATCCAGGTTTTCTTGACCCGTCACTTGTTGGAGGTGAGTGGTCAGCTTCACGAACCGGTCACTTTACCCCCGGGGAAAGGAACCCTCGGTACCCGTTGGATAAGAGGTTGGGTGAGCCACAGAGCCAGTCTGGACGACGAGGAGCCTCGAACTCCGACCCCTCTGTTGTAGCCAGTCGCTATAGCGACTGCGTTATGCCGGCTTCTCATATTAACGGGTATGTTCAGATTTAAACTTGCCAATCAATTTATAGATCGGTTTTATAGCGTTGTGAGTTGTGCACTGGATGTGGAGAATCTAATTTCGAACATTTTCTTTTTGTAAATTTGGCAAAATAATAAATAAATTTCATCGTATTTCATTATACATTATACAAACCAGTTAACTGACTTTTTGGCCACTCTGTATATTGTAAAATTTATCATTTAAATTCCGGTCATTATGTAACCAACTAGTAACATAACTTGCAGGTACAGACCCGGTAAACCAATAAAGTTAAAGTATTTCCCTAAGATCTATTTTAATATTTTCCGCACAACGTCCTCATGTCTTCTGAGCATTTACATTCAAGAGGGTCCCCACTAAAATTTTTAGCGCATTTCTCGACCTCCCCTCCCTTCCCGCCAACCGAATTACATCCCGTAGTAACCTCCTTCACTTTGACAAACCGTGACAGTACTGTGAATGGCGAAATTGTTCGTTACGTAATATCCTCGGTGTGTTGCTTAATTCGGCTCTCCCCGGTTCAGGTGTTTCCTAACAATTTCTGTTCTTCCCTCAGAGAAACGTGTTTCTTTCATACAACACGACTGTAAGGTTTCTTAATGCCCGAAGAACTAAGTCAGTATAGTGAGTAGCCTACCGGATACATGAGTAGGGTTCGTTTCCCGACAAAGGAAAGGTATTTTCTGTTCTCAAGAGCGTCCAGATAGACCCTGTGACCCACCCAGCCTCTTATGTAATGGGTGCCAAGGGACATTTTCTTCTGGGTTAAAATGGCGAGGAATGAAACTGATTGCTCACCTTCATCTAGTGTCGAGGTTAAGAATGCGTGGAAATATCTGTACTTCCCCATACATCTTCATGGCGCGCTGCTGAATTAAGCATAAGGACAGTTGTACCGAGTTAGTTAGCGCAAGTGTTAACAATTCTGATATTATTCTTTTTGGGAAGTGTCAGGCTTGAATCGCGTCAGTTCTCTTCAAGATAACTGCTCAGCAAGGACCGCATAGGAAACAGCTTCTGTTGCTCGCTGGTCAACAGGCCACAACTGAACCCTCAACTGTACTGTAGCGTCAGTTGTCTTCAAGATAACTGCTTATCAAGGACCGCGTAGGAAACAGCTTCTGTTGCTCGCTGGTAAACAGGCCACAACTGAACCCTCAACTGTACTGTAGCGTCAGTTGTCTTCAACATAACTGCTCAGCAAGGACCGCGCAGGAAACACAGCTTCTGTTGTTGAAGTTTGTTTGGCGCGACCAAGCCGTTGCTTAGAAACGGGTTGCATAAAACTGTTCTTTTATTGTTGCGGGCGTTACATGGCAACGGCCGCTGTTTACAGAGTCACGTCTTAGCAACGGGTCTGTAGGCCACAGTATCAAACTCTGCCACTGTTTGCTGTAACCTACATTACAGCCCAAGGTACAGTTTTAGCGCCTTCGCTCTGTGCCACATTTTGTGTATGGTGAAGATACAATTTCAAGTCCTCACGCTGTAGATTTATTTCCGATTTCGTCAGGCTTTATCGGCAGTCTGAAACAGTTTCAATTACTGTCTTCTGGAAGTTATAGCGTGTTCATATTACGCAACTGTGTTTAGCTGTGGCTTTCTGTTGCAAGAAGCAACCCGCTTTCTCACAGTCGCGCCATGTTTGAGTGTAACGGTCCAAGCCACATTAGCTCATTAGTTGCAGAGCTGGATCGCATTACGCTAAAATCTGTTTGATCCCGGAAGGGAATGCTTCAAACTCATCAC